TGTGTGTGTGTGTGTGTGTGTGTAGGATGGGAGGGGTGGGAACAGGAAATATAATGTACTTTTACCGTTTTGCGTGTGTAACATATTTCAAATATGATACTTTTTTCATGCACTGAAAGACCGTAGCTGTTCCGGTGTCCTTTTCTTTTCATAAAGGAACAAGAAAACGAAGTTTCCATATTCTTTCTTTATCAACACCCTCTCAGTCACTGTGCCACACAACTATATAATTTACTTCGAAAGCCTACCCAGGCCTAACCAAATGTAGCAACCTCGGTGTCTGTGAATGACGAAGGACGAGTACACAAGTAGACCTACGTGAAAAAAAGCGGGCCGTGAAAAGTGCCATCCAATAAAAACTGTTGGAAGGCAGGTTTTCATCTTTGGGTTTCAATCATGGAAGCTGTTAAGCCACATTGTACGTTGTACTAAACTACTAACATTTTGTTAGAAATATTCATATTTATAATTAAGTTTAAAATGATAAAGTCACAAGCAATGTTCACAATTTGCCTCCTTAAGCTTTATATTGGAATAACCAATTCAGTTTTCTCCTGTAAAATACCACCTTGGCCATCGAGAAGTTGCTATTTTCTTTGAGAAAGTGAACAACACAAAGCACAAGGTATTTGTAGACAATTTCCCAACCAAAAAACGGATCAAACATTTAATCCTCCCTCCAGGCAATTTGATCCCAGAACAAAAGACGTAATGCCTTCAACAGCATGTCTTAGCGTTATGCCAATCCGTAAAACATATGTCGGGCATGAGGCTACACCTGAGTGGGCCCGTACCTAACGATCCGAGTCTCTGAGAGAGAAGTTTGGACCTTAGTCACTCCATGGGAGTGTAGGAGTGTTAGGAAAGTGAACCGGCATTTGGTAGATCTTGGTCAGTGCTGGACTTTGTGTGTGTGTGGATACCATGCTGTATTATTGGCCGGCCTACAGTGTGGATAAGTACACGGTATGTCGATCATATGCAGTTATGTTTCTTAAACATGAATACACATCAATCTTTTTTTCACATCTCTTTCAAAAGAATATGGTTGTTTCTGTCATTAATGTACTGCCAAGTATAACATAAAAGAACTAGCAGTAATTGTGGTTAGTGCTTACAATTGAGGGCCCTACTTGGTTTCTGTACTTGTAAAGTTTTGTTATGACTATAATACTGCTTTTTCCCTGTGCTAATTGGCCATTATTGAGCTGATATGTTAGTCTTTACCCAAAGGTAACTTTAGACATTTGCTAAATATATCAGATCTTCTTGTTCAGAGGGAAGGGTGAAAAAGATTAAATAGTCCGTATAAACAGTTAATGAACATTTTAAGAAGGATATCGTTTTTTAAGTTTTAACAAACGACTCATCCCCCCCCCCCCCTTAAAAAGAGAACCCAATTAGACAAAATAAGCAATCACCATTAAAACACAATGATATGCCGAGACCTTCACACAATACATGAACAACTCGAAGAAATATAACTCAAGACACTCTGAATGTTCAGTATAGGTGACATGTTAAAATGTTAATCAAAGTAAGAACAGTATAATCAATAGAAAAGAAAATGTTATTATGTTGAACACGCCTACTTCTGGCACGGTTGGAAATATCTCTTGGCAACCACATTTGTTGGGATGGCGATACATGTCTGTTGAGAGAAAGAAACATTGTTGTTTATACTTTTTAAAACTTCCAAATTTCTAACACATTTACGAGCGCACAAAGCGTGATAGGTGCAACAACAAAATAAAGCGGAGATAAAAATAGAGTGTTAGGTAATTTTATCATGGTAGGCTTACTTCAGGGTTTAACCCTTCATTGCTTCTCCCATATTTGTATAATAAGTAGTTTGGCGGGATTGAGAACTGAGTATAGCATGAATTGGTTAAGGTAAAAGTAAAGTTCGATCTCCCATTCTTAAAATAATTCACAAGCATCATTGCCCATGTTGTCTCAGCGACCCATAAGTAGCCTCAGGACAAATGGAGATTATGCATTTCGGTAGCAGGTCAAATAATTTCCGAATGTTTAAATTGTAAAGCGTTTGGAGCAACAAGTAAAAGTAATCTCTGTTATACGATTCTTCTTCTTCTTCTTCTTCTTCTTCTTCTTCTTCTTCTTCTCCTTCTCCTTCTCCTTCTCCTTCTCCTTCTCCTTCTCCTTCTCCTTCTCCTTCTCCTTCTCCTTCTCCTTCTCCTTCTCCTTCTCCTTCTCCTTCTCCTTCTCCTTCTTCTCCTTCTCCTTCTCCTTCTCCTTCTCCTTCTCCTTCTCCTTCTCCTTCTCCTTCTCCTTCTCCTTCTCCTTCTCCTTCTTCTCCTTCTCCTTCTCCTTCTCCTTCTTCTGACCAAAAATATTATTATCATTATTGTCGCCATAATACTAACATAAAACAAATGCGTAAGCTTTAAAACTCTTACCAAGACCATTTTTCCATCCTCGTTGACTTCACGCACAAACCTGGAGGGAATATCGCCGTCTTTGATTGGATCTTGTAGACATACCAGCGTGTCTCCTTCTATACTGAATGTTGACTGTTGGTTTAAAAAAGACGATAAATCACTTAAGAGTATAATTTTTTTAAAGATATTTTCGTTTCTTGCAATGCTAATAATGTGAGGTAGCGTGGTGGAATCAGGCTCTCGTCCAAATAATCAAAGTGAAGAAACTTGCATTTTTCTTTGTGAATTTTTATCAAATTTTTGTATTTTGGCTCAACACCTTTCATGTCAATTAAAGAACTTATTTTTGTGTGGATTTTTCTGAAAAACGTTGATTAAAGGCACACAAAATGTAAATTTTCAGTTACAACGGACTCTTAAGCTAAAGAAATAACTATTATCTTTGGCGGTCATTTTCTCACTAATTTTACCTCTGAAAGCAGGTGACCCCCACCGCCTTCTTTCGCAAATATCTCGACTTGTATTCAAGATAAATGGATCTTTTTTCCATCCAAATAAAGACAAGTGAACAAGCTTTAAGATGTTACCAATAACTCTACATGCCCAAAAATTGACGACAGCCTGATTCCACCACGCTGCGACATCTATTATTAGTATCCCTTTCACAGTTACCGATATTCAAATGAATCCCTTTTCCTCCGCCCTCCGCTCTCCCCCTAATCCCCCTGTTACACACGACATACACTTTTTTGTTTACCCACCCGAATCCGTCGACCTAAACAAAGGAAATACAACATTACTACAACAAAGAATACAAATCAAACAAAACCCTATATGTTCTTATTTCATTAATTGGTAGTTTTGTCCAACATGCACACCACAAGTATACACGGTCATAATCAACTACTACGCAAAAGGGTCTTGAAAATCCTTATAATTTTGAAAGGTGTAAACTAACATACCAAAACCCCACACCCTCTCTGCAGTGATGCCAATGAGAATGATACTATATCCGGAGTGGCATTTTGTCACAAATGGCTAGTTTACTAGTTCTTGGTGTACTATTAGGCCTATACCGCACCTAGACAAATCTGTCTTCAGATAGACTAAAGCCTGTGCTTTAGTGAGTTGTGAACAATGGAGTGATACGGACCCTACCGCACTACTTAGACACAACATTTTAGTCGTGAAAAGCTGTGACCACCCACAAACCAAGTACGACAAGTCTAACTAAAGACTGGTTTGAGCCTGTAAAAGAATATTATAGCAGTCTACCGCTCTAAGATGAAACTACCCTGAAATTTGACGATTCGCCCAGTTCAATACACCTACACAATATACATAATAGTATGTTATGTTCATTCATCCGATCGTGTTTTGACGACACGCCGAGTTCCTTTCACCATCACATAAACGCATCTGATCGTTTTTTACGCCAACCTACATCCTGTGCACATGGAGCAGGGAACATCAGCAAATATTTTGTTTAATTAATCATGGATGTTCATGTCAATTGGGCTGAGAAATTAATAAATGCAGTTGAAGGCAACCTTTTGGTGAACATTAAAACGTCACTTTCTGTAATCGCTGACTCGTAAATGGATGAATCCAAAACCGTTTTTTATGTTGTTTCTTTCGTCTGATTGAAAACACTAGAGCACATTATACACATGCTATCTCTATAAATTCCATGTTCGAAATGAATAATTAATATCAAAGTCTTAAGACGATTGAGTCTTAGCGTGGTACGGCTCAAGTGTAAGTAAAATTCTGCGACAAAATAGACTGAACGTTCTAAAGACAGATTTGTCTTGTTGCGGTATAATACATGTCATTGTATAATAGGCCTTAACTCTTTCGGAGTAAGGATCTGTGAACGCTTGCCCATCAGGTGTACAGACAAGCAGTGATATTATATTATCACCGACCAGTCGTACAGAGCACAAACTTCAGAAATTTTTGTTGGGTTAATTTTATTGCAGTCTCCACATCCGTTGTACATAATAATATGTCGGTTCCATATACTACACGTGAATTATTTTATTGAAATTCATATTTTAAATTCAGTATTTGCGAAATAGGAAGAACACTTATAAACTGTAACTTCTCTTATTAAAAGAACTGAAACATTTTGTTATTTGTGTGGAGAGCAGCGGAACTCCCCCC